ATTTTCTTTTGGATTTTTCCAGTGATCAAATCAACCATATTTAAGAAGGCATTTTTTCCAGATAAAATGTAAATTGTATTGGATTTTCTTTAGCAATTGCAGCAAACATTTTAGGTTAGATGCACACTTGGAATGTATAGGTATATTCAGAAAATAATTCCTATGTGGGAAATTGAACATAAGAAACAATTTTCAATATTAATAACAGATTTATTTCAAATATACACTAAAAATTATTTTTAACTTTCCCTAGAAAGCTCTTTATAAGCAAGTAAGATTTTGCTCCCAAATCTACCCAAATCTTACAAAGTATGCTAAGAATCTAGATAGGTGATTTTAATTATTTCAAACAGGGACAGCCTAATTATTGTCAAGAATAACAATGAAATTGGTTCCCCCCTACCCTTTTTACACTCTATAAAATACATCTGGTAAAATATCTTTCTGTTTACTTCTCAGCTTTTCTATGAGCAGAGCAATTTTCCACCAAGGTTTGTTTCCAACTGTGACACAGAAGTTTCGTGGGTGGTTTTCTGCAGGTAGATAACGCTGATTTTGAACAAAAATTAGGTTAGAAATCTGAAGTTGCTCTTCCTCTACCCTGATTTACATTGTTTATATCAGTTGAAGCTTTTTAAAGCTAGAGACGTGATTGATTGGTAAATCCACTGCATCCTATGAGAGGCCATTTTAATTATCATGTTAATCTCTATATTTTATTAACAGCAATAGAGAAGGATAAAGCAACCTTAATGAAAGTTTAATAAATGATAGGCACTCAGGGTCAAGCTGGCCTGTTTTGCAACTTAAAGGCAAAATATAAATCATATTATGAAGGCAGTTTCTATTTCACCCAATGACACGAGGATTTTAAATGTGCAAAAGTTCTTGCGAAGTAAAATATACAATTAGCCAATGCAGGACACCAGAAATAGATGTCATATCTGGAATTCTGGAACTCTTGGATCCTTGTGAAATCAAGTACTAAAATAACAGTTTTATAAACTGTTATTAAATGCTTTGTGCAAGGGCAGAAATCCAAGGTTTATCCCTGACTCCAGACATGTATATAAACTACCTTAGGGAGCTTTGTCTAAATTATCTGGATGGATTTAGTTTTGGATTTTGTTTCTCTTGATGCAGTCATTATTACATGATAATAGATAACAGATAATCAGAGTTGAAAGGGACCTTGTAGGTCATCTAGTCCAACCCCCCACCCAAGCGGGAGACCCTACACCATTTCTGACAAATGGCAGTCCAATCTCTTCTTGAAAGTCTCAAATGATGGCACTCCTGCAACTTCAGAGGGCAAGCTGTTCCATAATGCTTGCCTGAAAGCCTCTGTCCAACGTGCAATAACACCAACTCAGAAATTTTCCCATTCCTACTACTGATTTTGATTAAGAACACAACTGAGCACCCAGCAGGTTTTTGCAGTGCTCAAATGATAAATAATGGGCAAAGGCCGAGATGCTGAGATCTTTACCAGACTACCCAAAGAGAGCCTGAGAGCTGTATGCAATCCATGAATTTTCTATTGCTGACTCATGTTATCCAAAGAGTTCTATTGTCTTTAATATATATTGAGAACATTGTTGGGAACTAGTTGTATATTTGGAATATAATGCTCTCCTCATACATAATGATAACTAGCATTTATCCTTTTTCATTGCACACCAAAGTTTTTGAAGTGCTGTATCGATGTTTTAGGACAATAAGTTAGAAATGGTTAGAAATGTAGATAAAATGGTTAGAAATGGTAGATAAAATGAAATGGTAGATGAGTTACACTCATCAACATATAAATGAGCTCAGTTTGCCCTGCATGAGATTATTACTCCAGTGCATCACTTAATAATGGATCTGACTTTACTCCTAAAATTTCAATGTATTGACTATGTTCAAGGGTACTCTTTTACCTGCTGTAAATTGGTACATAACATGATTTCATATACACTAATTTTGGAGAGCATCAGAAATTGCAGTTGGCGCAAAATACATTTGTCAGAATTCTACCTTGAGACCACCCATTCAGAATATATTGCATCGGTTATGATTAGTGCTCTATTTTAGATCAACTCTGCCAAAGATGGGAATTTATTTATTTTGGCCATACATCTCCACCATGAGTTTCACTCAGTCTCTGTCTACTTTGAATGCAAGTCAAAATGTATTCTTGGGAGGCAGTTTATATACTGATTTTATGTTAACCATGAAAGTCATGTGGCTGGGGCAGTATAAAGTGTTCGTGCATAAATAACAGCATGTTAGCAGAAGGCTTTTACATTTATAGATTGCTGTTAAAAGTTAGAATGTCAACTACTATGAAAACTATCAGAATATTAAGAGCAAAGAAAATAGATGATAATCTAATTCATTATTATCAGTCAATGTTCTGTATGCTGCAGTAGTTTCCAGGTTTCCAGAAATAAGTCTGTCTGTTCTCATGTTCCTGAAAACCTTGAAACTGAGAATTGCATTTTGTGATTTAGATGTATGTAATGCTTTATGTAGCCCTGAGATCTTTCTGTGCCTTATCTGTAATATTTATTACTTGTTATTTGTTATTTGTTACTGAAATGTGCTTTTTTAAAAAACACATTTCTTTTTAAAATCAACCACATCTACAAAATTACCTTTAGGGAGAACAGACAGTGACAAATTAGCAGGAAACAAAAAGTATCAATAGGTTTTTTTCAGCAAGAATATTTTCCTTATTCCAAACCAACTATGCCAGTACAACTTCAGCTTTGTAATTACTAATTTACTCTGTATCTGCAGACTAAACTGAAATAGATTCCTTTGGCATATTACATTTTGAATAAATCATATCTGAAGTTATAAATTTCCTGTTCTAAGTCTGAAAGCAGCAATAATCAGGCTTGATTGATGCAACCCAAATGGCAATAAAGCATGCCTTTACCATTTGGCTGATGAGCCAAAATGTATGAGCTGAAATGTAGGCTATTTTGTCTGCTACCATGCTTGGAACCACAATTAAAACTGTTCTTCTCTCCAGTGCTCAGTTAAAGTTTTTGGATAAGAGGTGGGATCCACACAAAAGTACCAGCCAGTTTAAGGTTGGTGGTATGCCTTAGCATAGATTTAATGGGAACGTCATAAAATAACCACCTGTGCAGAGCACCAGCAGTGGTATTTAGATTCCTTCTTAAATGGGCATGAAAATGATGCTGTCAAATGCAAAATTACAATCCTGGGTGTGATTATATTTTTTGTATCAAGATTACAAGCTCTGCATTTAAAGTTGTCCAGTGAAGAAGGGAGTCAGAAACCTAGTAAGGGTTACATCATATAGAATATAACATCTGAATAAGTTATCAACATAAAAATGAGGAAAACAGAATTCTGTGAGCTACAATTTCAATAATCTCCAGGATAAAATGACTTAATGAAGTTAACTAATTTGAGTTATTAGCATCTCTTTGCAAGAGCTTACGTTGAATGACAATGTACTTTTATTCAATCCTATCTTCCTGAATTAGAAGAAAACAAGCAGAAATAAGAACATCAACATTTGAGAAAGATCCAGTCCTTTTTCAAATTCTTAGAAAAAGAGAATCAGTCATCCTGAATGTCATCCTCCTCAAACAAATGCATAAAGTTACTATTATCACTCATGAACTGCACCAAGAACATTTAAAGCTTTACATGTCCATATTCATGCCCTGGTAATTCTGGGACGTACATATTTCAATATATTGTATGTGGGGCTGCTACTAAAGATAGGGTAGACATTTCAGCTAAGACACAATGCGACTTCTACCAGTAGATTGGTTCCCAACCCTATGGCGATGTAGAGAAATCATACCCCTTCATGTTGTTTCTGAATTTTTAATGTGCAATAAACTCTAACATAGTATTTGTTGGTCTGTCTTCATCTCACATCAGTTTACTACCATCTTCATTTGAGGCTCCTTGAATGCTTTCATTATCCAAATTTAGTGTACACATGGATAAGATCATTGTAGTGGTGGCATTCTGATTTTAAGATATTTTTTTCGTGACTCAATCATGATTTAGTTGACTGTTTTCATTTTGGCTTTGATTTAATGATTATCTTACATTTTCTTATGAGATATCCTTGGAACATTTATCCTATAGGATGAAGTCTGTAGGTCTGATAAAGGTTATTTGCTAAAAATGTCATGCTCTTGATGTAAGTTAAGAAAGAAAAAAAGGTACAGTAGAAATATTTAATCCCTTTAGAACTTTCTCCAGCTACATGTTCAAGAATCATTTGGTTCTATAAATATTGAAATGATTATTTTGCCAAAAGCAAGATATCAGTTCAAAGCTACTAAACCAAATCAAAGCTGCAAAAACAAATACTTTCCATTATATCCATTATTCATTATTCTGAGATGACTTTTGTGCTTTTTGTGCTATGAAGCAATTGGTCTATACTTGCTATTTCCAAGGGCCTTGCATATATTTTAATCTAAATGTAGTTTACAGACTTTCCCAAACTCTATTGCCTGCCTTAATTACTTACCTAGCTTTCAAATATGGATGAAACAATGATCCTGAAAAACTAAAACAGTTACAAACCATATCCTACATTTTTAAATAAATAATTTGAAATTGTTTTTAAAATCACTGAATGAAAACTATTGGTGTACAAGTAATCTTGTAATACACCAGAGTTTCTCAACCTTGACAGCTTGAAGAAGCACAGATTTCAATTCCCAGAATTCCCCAGCCAGCTCTGGGAGTTGAAGCCCATGTCTCTTCAAACTGCCAAGGTTGAGAAACACTGTAACAAACTATTTATTCTGAATAACCTTAAGCATCCCAATATGTTAATCAAATGGTACCATATTTACATATTTGAATTTTACCTACTTTCATTTGAAGGACAGCATAAATACAAGAAGTAAATAAGAATATTTTTGTCATTTCGGAAGACAGTTTGCATTTTTAAGAATATTAGACTGGAATACATAGCATTTCTCTTGCTGAAAATATTAAATACTTACGACTGCTTTTAATACTCATATGTCCTCTGAAAGGGCCCATCAAGGAATGGTTAGGAATCATCATAGCTTGTCAGGACACTTGTGGAAAAAAAAAACAATTAGGAAATACTGAAATGATTTTCTTTGAAGTAAACCTTATTGACACTCAGAATCAACTAGCCAATATTACAAGCCAATGTGTTTACTGTAGATGACTACAATAGATGTGAGAATGATAGAAGACAGGAGGAAAAGTTGCAGCCTTGGTAATAGTCTGATAAATACAACATGATCTGAAGGAGGAATGGGTGTGAAAAAACATGGTTCAGAAGGGACCCTCCCTAGTTTTAAGGAGAATAAAGACGTGTGTGTATGGGGCGAGGGGGAACACAACTTGGAAGATTGTGTTACTGTAACCTTACAATGCAGATAGTGTTAAAAATACTCATAATAATACTTCTTGTTTGGACTACCTCAAAAGACTGATTTATTAATTAGATTTATATCCTTCCTTTCTATAGGAATAACTTCTTCATCCATGCTTTTCCCTTCACCCACATCCTGTAAATTAAAATTAATTAAGAGAGAGTGACTGCTGTCTCTTAAGTATCTTCCATGACTGAAGACAAACTAGAAACCAGAGCTCTTTGGTCCTAATCTCCTAGCAGTGACTAATTGCTCCAAATAAGGGTAATAAAAACTGTTTCACTAGATAACTGATTTAATCTCATGAACCCCTCCCTGGCATGCCTGACTCAATTAGATTGTTTGATTTTAAAAACAACAACAGAACCTTGCATGCTGCAAACTATTTTCCTATATTTATTCACAAGACTATTTCTAAGCCTGATATCCTCCAGAGGCATTCTTAGAAAACAAGAACTGTGGGTGACATATTCAGTGCTTTCTTTGGAAGTTTCTCTACCTGTCTACCTGAGGAAAAGTGATGGATAGCAACCTGCCTACAGTACTTTGCTTCTCAGTATAAGTAGACTTGTTAAACAAACCATCTCCCTTTTTTAGATTTGTTTAAATGAAACAATTCAGTTTGGGGCTGGTAAGCTATCATTCTTGCACTGAAATGGGAACATGCTATCTTGGAATGGGACTCTAATAGCCATAAATAATGCAACACTTCAAGTGAAAAAATTCAGCAGCACTAACGGAAAATGATAGAATACATGGTATATTTTGTGCTTAGATGTGAGAGTGATGAAGTATAACTATGATATCAAATTAACATAAGCATCCATATAAAGAATTGCCTTGTTCTAAA